TTCCCGCTAAGGGCACATACCTTGGTTGCAGTTTGTCCCCAGCCCTGGTTGGGTTGTGCGGGTGGCAACCACTCGATGTGTCCTTTCACATCAATGTCTCTCTCTCTCCCCCTCCCACTCTATCTGAACAAAAAAATAAAAAAAGGCCTCGGGTGAGGATTAAAAAAAAAAGAGAAAAAACATTTTTTTAATTAGAAAATAAACAAACAAAACATTGGGGATATTAATCACCACTTTAAACTGTAGACAATCAGGTAATCCACTTAATGTGCTACGTGAAGAAAACAGAGTAATTGCAGTCACTTCTGCTTAGAATCATCTCTGAAATCAAAGGTATTCTTTCCCTATAAGTTATCTTCCTAAAAGCAGAGTGATGATGTCAACATGTCGGTTTTCTTAGAAGCTTTACAAATCACAATTCATAAAGTAACATGCAGGAATTTTACTTGAGAGTCAGTGATCTACAGAAGATCTGGAGTGAAATGGCCATACCACTCTATTCCCATCCGTGGCTTTGGTTAATATATTAAAATTTGAAAAAGAAACTGTCATATGTCCTTGGAATTTCTTCCTCACAAAGAGCCAAAAAACCCAAATATATACAGTTAGGAAATATCTATCATACCTTTTATGAATTTCTCTGCCTATGAAGAAATCACGAGGTTTATTTTTTCCAGGTAGGACCCTAATACATTAGATTTTGATAAAAGCCATAACCTAGGATATTATGCATGGTGGACAGATATGCATTAGAATCCTTCTAAGATCCCTGGAGAATTTTACCAAAAAAGTACGTTTTCAGTAATGTCAGATTATAGTTCATGGTGAATATAAACTTTACAAGTTTTTGTTTGTTTGTTTGTTTGTTTGTTTGGTACGTGCCCCTAGTGGGAACCGAACCCAGGAGTCTCTGGTCCACAGGCCGACGCTCCAACTACTGAGCCAAACCGGCCAGGGCTAAACTTTACAAGTTTTGATAACTATCCTTGAATGAAAGTTTCTAAAGTGTGATAATGACAAATGTGGTTGTGCTTTGAAAAAATATCTTTTAAAATATACTGAAGTATTTACAGATGAAATAATTTAATATCTGGAATGTGCTTTAAATTAACATGATGCGGGGTAGTGGGTGGGAGTTTTAAACAAGATTGGCCATAAACTGATAAGGCTGGGTAATGGGGACAGAGAATAATTTATACTATTTTGTCTTCTTTAGCATATGTTTAAAATTTTCCAACATAAAAAGTTTTATATTTCCTTACATAGGATATAAAATATACCCATGTAACAAGAAATTCTGAAATTTATGCAGAAACCCAGATTCTTGAATGCTTCTGCTACTGCATTATTCCCAGACAAATCCTCTCACCTAACAGCACGTTTCCTTTTTCTAAATGCAGGGATAGTACATGACTTTTAAGGTTGCTCCGATTTTCTATGCATTGAGAATGCTGTTTTGTTTTACCCAGTTGAGTTTAAATTCAGCCTGTTAATTCAGGGTTGGGGAAAGTCCGGCCCACAGGCCATATAAGGTCCACGAAATCAATACCAGCTAACATCACACATCTCACCAAATCAGCCTGACCAAATACAGCAGGCTAATTTTTATGTTGATAATTTTGTATGGCCCATGACTGATGTTATAAATATCCAAATGGTCCTTGGCAGAAAAAGGTTCCCCACCCCTAGTTGTCACTGAAAAAAAGAGGGAAGTCACTACAGTGATATATATACCTCTATTTCCCACTGATGAAGTGAAAATGCTCACTCCTCAGAAATCTACTTAAGAATCTTTAAGAAAGAGTCACCTATCATAAAGTGTAAAGTGAGAAGTCCCTTTAACACAGCAATTTTTCCTGAATAAACTATCAAACAATATTGCACATAAATATATTTATTTGAAGACTGCTCAATCACTGTATTGTTTATAACAGTAAAATATCTGCTGTCCAAATTATTCTCTTAATTAGGAATTAAACATATTATGGCATACTCTTATAATGGAATGCCATGCAGCTATGTAGAAAATGAAGATATCAATCCACAATAATTAGGAGTATGGCAAAGGGACACAAGAACCAATGAAAAAGCTCCCAATGGCCAATGTGGCAACAACTGGAGCAATGAAGTTGAATTGGATTATAACCCAAAGTATAAATATCTATTAACCTATAAATAACCAAACCCTGGCTGGTTTGGCTCAGCAGTTGGAGCATCGGCCTGCGGACCAGAGTCCCAGGTTCGGTTCTCGCTAGGGGCACATACCAAAAAAAAAAAAAAAAAAAATACACTCATACATACACACGATTGAATAAATGGGGGGAGAATAGCTAAATATCCTGAGCAGAATTCCAAATAATATATACAGATACTCTGTTCTTCAAGGAGGTGGAACATAACTCACAAGATAGAAAAGAAGAGATGGGAGGAGGAGAAGGAGGTCAACAGCGGAAAAAGAGAAAGACATCTGTAATACGTTCAACAATAAAGATAAAAAATAAGTAAATAAAAAGATGGGAAAGAGAGAAAGAGTAACCAGACAGTAGAGAAACCTGACAAACACAACCTCAGCAGGCTATCAAGGTCAACAGTGATAAGTCATGCAGATAGTGTGCACCCTTGAAACGATGTGATGAAAATGGCATTTGCCTCTGTGGTCTTCCTCCCCAAAACACACAACCCTGTCTAACCATGAGAAAAACATCAGACAAATCCTAAATGGGCCAGGAGTGGGGGGAGGGGGGGCTTTCATTCTACACTATCGGACCACTCCTCCTCAAAATTGTCAGTCATAAAAGAAAAGTCTGAGAAACTGTCACAGCCTAAAAGAACCTAAGGAGACCTGGTGACTAAATATAGTGTAAAATCCTGGATAGGATCCTGGAACAGAAAAAACATGAGGTAAAGACTAAGGAAATCTGAGTAAGTATGAACTTTTGTTAATAATGTGTCAATACTGGTTCATTCATTGTGACACTAATATAAGATGTTAATGAAAGGGGAGGCTGGAGACTTTGAACTATCTTTGTAATTTCCCTATAAATCTAAAACTGTTCTAAAATTTAAAAAGTTCTTTATAAAAACAGAAAAAGGAAAATTTTAAATGAAGATATAAACTTATGATGTGGAATGATGGCCAATATATAATAAGAGTTATTAAACAACAGGCATGTGATGAACATATTTTTGTTTTTGAAATATACAGATGTAGTTATAGATCAAAAAGTCTAGAAAATTATCCATCAAATCTTAATGTCTTGGTAGTAGAATTACTAGTAATTTTCAATACCCTTCTTTATACTTTTCTGTATTACCTGGTTTTGTTTTTCCACTAAGCATTAATTACTTTTAATATTGAGCCCCATTACTTCTATAATCAGGAACAAAGTTATTTTATTTTGGGGGGAAAAAACAGCATAGCATAGTTCAAATTAATATGCATTTATAAAATCACTACATTTTAATTTTTCTAAGGTAAATATTTTAAAAGAGAGGATAGAAAAGTGATTTCAGCCCAGCCAGTATGGCTCAGTGGTTGAGCATTGACCCACGACGCACTAAGAGGTCACCGGTTCAATTCCTGGTCAGGGCACATGCCCAGGTTGTGGGCCAGGTCCCCAGTGGGAGGCATGCAGGAGGCAGCCAATTGATGTCTCTCTCATCGATGTTTCTATCTCCCTTTCCCTCTCTCTCCCCCTAAAAATCAATAAAGGAAAAAAATTTAAAAAAAAAAAAAAAAAAAAAGTGATTTCATCACACCTAGCATAAAATGCTGGTTTCACCATTTACCATGGGTAAGACCTTGGGCAGTTCAATTACCTCCTTCAATGTCCTCATCTTCATAGTGGGGAAAATGTAATGCTTCCAACAAACATACTGATCTGCAGAATTGCCCTAACATACATTTACTTATTTATCAATATCAACACATATTATATATTAATATAAATTATATAAAATATATTTCATAACATCTAATTTTATTAGAAAATTAGATTAGTAGCAGAAAATTCAGTGTATGTCCAGAGCCTGACCTATTGAGGCTCCATAATGGTAACTGTTATTGAGATCAGTAATAATTTTAGAATCTAAGAAAAATAAAACGCTATGAGAAAAAAATTGTTTCTCAAAGAATATAACAGAGATCAGTGAAAGACAAAACCAGTAAGTACCTCAGCACATTCTACATCAGCAGCAGCAATTTCCCATACATCTCTGCTAATTAGATATTCGTTATGGTGATTAAATATGTTGTTGTTAACATGCCCATGGGACTACTGAGAATCTTCCAGAAAATAGAAGTGAAAGCCACTTTTTAAATCATAATCAGCTTAAACTAAGTTTTGGAATATTAATACACCAAGTCTCTCTTTCCGTGGAAACAGTTTCCCTACCTATGAATATAAAGGTAATACAAATTAATACCAGCCATTAAATACAAATTAAACTTATTTAAATCTGATTGTTAACTAATGAACTTTAATAAAGAGGGTTTATACAAGACACATATTTTGATCTTTATTAAAATTCTGGGCTGGAAGTCTATCTCAATACTAGTATTTTTTAATTACCCCAAATGCAACCCTTATAATATATAAAATCACAATACAATACACAAGTCTAATCACACTATGAATTAGTGAACTTTTATAACAAAGCCGAACAACCCAGATCAGAAGAATTTATTTGATTCAAGCAAAAAGTTTACCCAACTTAATTAAGTGGGACACAGACCCATATTTTAAAGACCTGCTAATTTAGGAAGAAATTAATCACCATTAACAAAATAATAGTAAATCACTGTGCCCATTTTTTCTACTACATTAGAATATGCACATTGTTCAGTTTGGTTCTGTTAAAGAAAGTTAATTTAAACATCAAAAATAAAAACAAAGATATAATCCAGGAACTATATTCAGATTGGTATATATGACCCAGTGTTGGGATTACAACTAGACAAAGACAGACTTTATAACATACATACTCTAAAGTTTCTGTACCTGATAAGTCTTACTCCAACTTTCCTGAAAGCAGTCATTGCAGAGACCTATTCCAATGATGCCATTTTTGCTGAACACTTTAGAAGCCTGGGGCACATTTTTGTCAAATATGCCTAACTGTAGCAAATTTTAAATTCTCTGAGAACAGCTGTAATTTATGGGAAGAGACAATTGTCATGAGAACTACTTTTAGCAAACAGATCAAGCTAAATAAACTTATGATTTTTTTTAAGGAAGAAATTGATTATAAGGTTTTTAACAAGGTTAGTTTTCTTAAAAACAATAAGAGCAAATTTAAAATGGGAATTCCAAGCTTTTGAGCAGCAATAGTATCTAGGTCATAAGAGTCTATTCCTATACAATGTTCTCTATTGTGTTAGTTCTCTGTAATTCCAGAACAGTCCTGTACTTGGCACATCTACACAAACTTCTTGTTAGAAGCTTAACTGTAGTTTTGATGTTTTTACTAGCTGCTCATGTGTGGTAAATATCACAGTACTATTATTGAATTATTAGCCATTCCTTTAGCTTCAAGATACCCAACAAATGCCATTATAACTAAGGAAGACTCAAAAGAAAAAATATTCAATGTGATCAACCTCAATTTGTAGGGTTATTCTTTTTTTAATCCTCACCCAAGGACATTTTTTGCATTAATCTTCAGATAGAGCGGGAGGAAGAGAGGGAGAAAGAGAGAGAGAGAAACATCGATGTGAAAAGAGACACATCAACTGGTTGCCACCCACACGACCCCAACCACAGCTGGGGACAAACTGCAACCAAGGGATGTGCCTTTAGCGGGAACCGAACCCACTATTCTCTGGTCCGCGGGCCAATGCTCTAACCACTGAGCGACCAACCTAGGCTGTAGGGTTATTCTTAAAACTTACTTAGACACTACATTATGTGATGTACAGCATCTTTCTTTTTAAGTTTAATAAAGCTATACATCTGCACTCACATTAGTCTACCTCCAATTCAGACACATTATAGAAAACTAAATCACAGAAAAATACCACATGTATACTATATACAAGGATAAAAGAAAAATATAAGACAATGTAAATCATCAACAGCATAAAATAAAACTTTGCCAAAAAACTACCTTTTCATTACACTACGACTAGAGTCCAGAGGGGCAAAACCATACAATTTATATGCTTTCCCACATGACAAACAGTTGTTAATGGCATTTTGAGAATGTTACAGTGTAATTACAAAATGACAAAGGTTAATATTTAAGGAGAAATAAAGCCTCTCAAAATAAAATAAATATTTATAAGATTCAGTTTCTGTTTTGTTAAACATTAAAGAAAGGTCCTGGAACTTAAAAGGAAATGTAAAAACAAAGATGACCTAGTTAAAAGAATTCCTGATACGTTTTATTCTTTTAGGGGACCTTTTACCTAATAAATGTTATACCATGTGGTTTGTGGTTTTAGTTTCCTTCCAGTTCTAGAAATGGACTGAGTCTTTTTGTAGTATTTACTTTTCTCTTTCCATCTGACCCCCAAACCTGCTTTGGATGTCTTTTGTAAAATCTTTCAAGACAAGGGAGTGAATTCAAAGGTCATGAATTCTTGAATAAATAGTTAAAATGACAGTCATACAACTATCCTGAATCTCTTTTAAGTATTATTAGTCTTCTAGAATACCAATCTAATTCTTAGAAGCAGAAAACACAGGAAGCACAATGTTCCAAGAAAAATTAATAGTAATTGATTCATCCTGGCTACCCAGGAAATACACAGCAAGGATCTGGGTAAATACTAACAACAAATCCATCTAGTAATACCTACCACCCAGGGACAGGAAAACAGAAAAAGAGCTCATGGAACAAATGTACAATGACTAAAAAGTACAGAAAGAAAACAAATTTGGGGATGAGAAGGAACTGGAGCTAGATGAAACACGACAGATGAGTGAGCTACAGAAACAGAGTAGACACATGTGGTAGAAGAGATGAGATCACTACTGACAGGTGATGACAGTAGAATGTAGGTGGACAAGAAGTGAAGTGGACAGAGGTGAGGGGTAAGACAGGCAGGAGCTAGAGATGACAGGAGCTGAATTACAAGAGATAAAAGCTGGGAGGGGGCTGACTAGGAAGGAAGCATGCCCAAGGAAATAAAGAGTCTAGATAATATAAAGTATTTTTAATAGGAGGCTGAATCATAGAAAAGGCAGGAAGTAGGCAAATGCAAAGGTACCAAACAAGAAATTATGGACAGCCTGACCAATGTGGCTCAGTGGTTGAGCATCGACCCATGCACCAAGAGGTCGCTGGTTTGATTCCCAGTCACGGCACATGCCCAGGTTGTGGGCCCGATCCCCAGTGGGGAGCATGCAGGAGGCAGCCAATCGATGTTCTCTCTCACTCATGTTTCTCTCTCTCCTTCTCCCTTCCTTTCTCTCTAAAATCAAAAAAGAAAAAGAATTTTTTAAAAAAGAAAGAAATTATGGACAAATGAGAAAAAAATGTAAAAGACAGACCAGGTGATAAGCAGATAGGGTAGAAAGGGAGTTAAAGAGTGAAGTAAAATGGGAGTACTGAGGAAGAAAATATTAATTTTTTTAAATTGTTTCTCAAATTTCACTTTATTAAATTAAATTTTAAAATCTGTTCTTCTGCACCCTGGCCAGTGTGGCTCAGTTGGATGACCATCGTCCCATGCACTGAGAGGTCACAGGTTCAATTCCAAGTCAGAGCTCAATTTCCAATAGGGAGCATGCAGGAGGCAGCTGATGGATGTTTCTCACATCGAAGTTTCTCTCTCTCTCTCCCCCCTCCCCACCCCTTTCCCTTCCTTTCTAAAATCAATAAAAACATATTTAAAAAATAAATTAAATCTGTTCTTTTGCTTATATTTCTTTGTTGGGTAAAACTTGATACATAAGAATAAATTAACTTACAGAGGATAACATTTTTAATGTCGACTTAATGTAAGAACTGAAAACAATAAAATTTACTTATGTCAGTTAATTATCTTAGCTCTGACAAACTAATTTTCATACCAACACATTAATAACCTTAATGACCAATTGCTTCATTTGTTAATTACAAAAGTTTTCTCTCTCTCGCTCTCTCTTTCTCTCTCTCTCTCTGCTTATCAGCCAGCACTTGGAGAGATCCTCACTAACAAGGAAGTTTGATGGAAGTTTAAAATAAGGTTAAAACCATAACAGATAAGATATGCTGTAAATTTTCTATAGATTTTTTACTACCCATGTTATTCTATTCTCCTAGGTAACTTAAAACACAGATGAACTGAAAACAATTCATCCTCCATTTCCACCTAGAAACAATAAATGAAAACATTAAATAAGAACATAAAAATAGTAAAGAACAACTCTGAAAAAGAATGGCAATTGTTCTATTCTTGATCCTAGAAAATAACTTAGGGGGAAGATCACCCATACAAAGGTCTAGTTATGAAGATATAATTCTTATTTTTACACTGAAAAAATAAGGTAATCAGATCTTCAGTCCAAAAACTGTGCAAGAAAAAAGGAGGCACACGCAGAGACTGAGAGGAGATAAAGATGAATCAGCAGTACATCATTATGAAGAAGCAAGTCATCAACATCCTGCACTTTTAGTAATTATTCAGTGAAAGTCAATTTCTAGGGGCCAACATCCCAACAAATTGTTCCTATTTCTTCTATTATACTTATAGTTCTATATCCTCACAGAATAAAACTCGGGTCATAAGTAGATTCCTAGCTATTGCAGTAGAGGAAAATAAATATTACATGCAGAAGCAGATGAGTTAACAAAAATAATATAAGAAACATATAAAGAAATATGCTAGTGTCTTGTCACTCAGATTTTCAGATCTATCTTCTTTCAGCTGCTCAAAAATCCTGAATGACATGTGGGTCACTTCTTTAAGTTTGCTATATCTTCAGCTTTTTACCATTCTTCCATGAATATCTTAATGAGTCTCTTGGCCATATAGTCCATTCACAGGCATCCAACATTTTTATTTACTTCTAGAAATAGTTGCTGCTCCACAGGCTTTAGCAGACATCTTGAAGGAACAAACCTGGTTCTTGGGTCTCTAGTGAGGACATGCTGAAACTAGGAGTCTCTCTCATACTCAAAGATAACATGGAAGCCAAATTGTGCTGTGTCCAGCGTAAGATGCCTTGGAAAAAAAAAAAAGTTATAAATCAACCACATTTTAAAACACACAACTCTAAAAAAAAAATAGTGCAAATCCTCACACATTTCTGTCTTAAATTTTAGCTAAGATGGAAAAATAAGTAAATCAAATAAAAAATTTTAATCTTTCACTTCAACTTTAAATATACTGTATTTTCCCCAAAATTTAAGAGGGCATCACAGGATCTACAATAAAAATACTACTCCAAATAATTGACAGTTCCTAAAATTACTTTTAAAAATCAGTTAAAATTATAAAGAAATTCTGGTGATTGACTTTTCGAATTTTACCATGGCCAGGATAGAAGATGGGCTTTGAGAAAATACGATTTCTCTACATTCATATCTAACTTGCAAATGGTATGAACAAACATGGTTTGTACCGAGCTGTAAAATGGGCTACTAAACTGATGGCCTGAAAAATTTCTCCCAGTCATAAGAGTGTAAAGTTATATATTATCTGATGATGAAATCTTGGTAGCACTAAACCACCTATAAGCAAGTCATCTGACTTCACTCCAATTTTCTTATCTATAAAATACAGGGCTGGTTCTTGTTACATGGGCAGGTGGTTTAAAACACAGATGTCCAAGCCATGCTCCTGGGGTTAGGCTAAAACATCTGTTCCTTTAACAGTAAACCATGGGTCATTGTGACATACACTCCTACTTAGAGAACCACCACACTAGATCATGTTCAGGATCCAGTTCTATAACCCTAAAATTCCTGAAATGGGGCAGGTACAGATTCCGTTCAACTATCCAGCTTGATAGGCTTAAAATATGCATCAGTGTGTCACCCTCCCTCCCTTTCCCTAAAACCTCCTATTCAGAGAAGAGCCTGCAATTATGGCTAATATGCCAATTGTATAAAAACTTCAAAACAGATTTCAACCCAAATTTTCCAAATTATTTTCTTGAGTATTTAAACAGAATATGACTGTGGGACAATATTCAGTTGTAAGTTTCTTCTATAACAGGCCACCTCAAAACATGTGCTGATGTTTAAATGACAGCAGCATACATAATTTCTTCACGGACTCAAATTATAAAGCCACCCCCAAGACAAACATCATGACCTCCTACCCAGCAGAAGTGATCTGTTACACAGAATACTATACCTGCAGAACGTGTGTCCTCCCTGGCTGCTAACCAGGTTTGTGGCCCGTGCTTCATTCAAAGGCACTTCCTCCTCTGATTCCTGGACTGTGGGTGAGGTGATGTATGTATTCCCCTATCTGTGCAGTCATTTAGAGCCAGTGACTCTGTTGATGCCCAACACCCTAAAAATAATATTGTCAGTTCCCAACAAAGGGATACAAAACTGGGCTTTCAGAGAATACCATTTTTCTTCATCTTGCTGGATTTTATTTGTAGGCCCTCAACTAATTCCACATGGTTTCAAAATGACTTCACTCCAGGTTTGTTACCAAATTAACAGCATAATTTTATGGAATTTTTTTTCCACCGAAGAACTATTACTTGGTTTGAAGAGGCCTCCTGGCCCCAATAGTGTACTCTTGTGCCCAAGATAAGCTGAAAAAATGGATCAAGATTTCACATAACGAAGCAAATGAGTAGAAGTGCACAGGAAACCGTCAATAATGCTCTGGTAAATTACCACTCCCAGGAATTTAAATGTAGTTAAGTGTCTTAAAGAGAAAAATAGTAAGATATCAAGTGTTATTCAATACTATTTTATTTCACATTAGTTTTCTGACACTGAATTCCCTGGCCCATGTACTGATGAATTACTGTTCTAGAATTCCATACCTAAAAAGTTACATATAATCTTCACTCAATTTTGAGATTCAAAATTCAGTTTCTCGTTTCAAAATAGTGTCCCCTTAACCACTTCATTATCAATCTCTGCTCCCTGAAAAATCAGTATTATTTCTGCAGCTCAGAACATTGCAATCTTTCATGTTACTTTGAAATTTTAAAAAGAGTACCTTTTACAGTTGAGAAAGTAGTGTCAATTTTTAGATGTCCCTTCTGTCTTTGATCAAGTAAAACTCCCCAGAGAAACCACACTGACTCAAGAGCCTAGGTTCATATTCCATGTCTCCCTACTTACTACTTTCATTGTGATTTTTGGCAAATAACTTAATTACTTGCTGTGCCTCAGTTTCCTCATTTGAAAAATGGGATTATAATTGCACCTACATCAAAGAATTGTTGTGAGTCAAATAAATCAACATGTAAAAGTGCCTAGGGCAGTGTCTAGCACATTTTAAGCCCCACATACATGTTAGCTATTATTATTACTTTGTTTTATTTAGCTCAAAATTCTCATACTGTTTCACGCGTGTACACGATGTTTGCCCAAAGAAAATACTACCAACTAGCCCTGGCCAGTTTGGCTCAGCTGTTAGAACCTCGGACTGAAGGGTCTCAGGTTTGACTCCCAGTCAAAGGGCACGTACTTGGGTTGTAGGTTCAATCCCCAGCCACCATCGGGGTTGTGCAGGAAGCAACCAATCTGTGTCTCTCACATCGATATTTCTCTCTCTCTTTCTCCCTCCCTCCCTTCCACTCTATCTAAAAATCAATGGAAAAATATCCTCAGGTGAGGATTAACAAAAATAAAACACTACCAACTAAAATAAATAGCTGACATTCAAAGGGCTCATCATGGGCTCCAGACTCTGTGGAGAGGGTAGAACTGGAGTGGCCCTGCCCCTAATGGTAAGTGGGACCTTCACTAGTGGAAAGACAGAAGATTCCAATGTATTTCTGCTCATTTCACAAATATTTACTCAGACCTTCCATATGCTAGTCTCTGTTCTAGGCTCTGGGAATATGGCAGTGAGTAACACAGTGAAGGTCCTTGCACTCTGGAAGCTTAAAGGGCACTCCACACAAGAGCTAAATTTTGAAGTAAGGAATGAGAAGGACCTGTCTTCCAATCCGATGAAACACAACCTTGCTTAAATGCCTTACAAACAGGAGTCAATTCTGGCATTATGGGTCATTCCGGCTTTCTAACAATGACAAACATACAGAAATGGCTGCAAAGAAAAATTCAATAACTTCCCATGTACTGTATTCTAAGTATGTTCTATTGCTTATAAAGCTCATTAAAGGGATCCTCTCCATACATTTCTGCATACAAATAACATAAGATTTACAAACATATAGTCAATCTTATTCGAATGACTTTCAAAATAGAAAATGTGAAGGCCCAGCTCCTAAAATTTGTCCAAATGTAACCTATTAACACTTTGCTGTATACCCTTGTGTTTTGTCTCCACATTTCCCGTTCCCCACTTTATCTCCAAGTGGCTGCATATAAATATCAAATAACTATCAGGAAAGTGCCTGTAGATGAATGTGGTGGCAAGAATGAGTTACAATGGATGCAAGTATGAACTCCAAACGAAAACACATGCATCTTTTTCTTCTTACATCCTCCCATTGATGACAACTCTCCACTCGTCCCCTCCCCAAAGAGAATGTCTTTAGGTAAAGGAACCCTCATATAAATACTGACTGGCAAATCTTTTCCTCTCCAATTATAGACCACTAAAATCAGAAGATAAATTCCAATATGCTCTAATCACAAATAAGACATTTTCAAGTATTTCCCACATCCTCTCCAGTCTTTTCAACTACTTCTACTCTCACAAGATGCAAACTGTTAGACCCCACCATCATGTTCATCACTGTTATACCTATATAAATCATTAAACTGTATCTGTGGAAACAGTCAAAATAAACTTCTTGTGTAAGAAAGTCAAAATTGCTTAATTAAATCCAACCAAAAACTTAACTTCATGATGCACAAAGTACTGAACTCAACACTGAGTATGTTTAAGACATTTACAGGCAAACTGAATTATTAGGTAGAACCCCTGCCATGTTGATAATATAACATTAACACTCATATACCCATGAATTTCAGATTTATCAACAAAGCAATAGCCAGCTCACTGTTTATTTCCTTGGTTTGGTATTGGAAAATTACTCTTCCTGTTTCATTGTATTGTTAATCCTTAATTAGGAATGTCACTAAGAAACTAAATATGGAAAGAGAGCTTTCAGAAGGGACCATTAAGGCTTTACCAATGTTTACCTTTTTCCAATGTCCAAGCATAGCCACTGGGTGACAATAATATGTAATGGGAATTTGCATAAATAAGAGCTACAGGGCTTTGCAACTTTCTGAATACTTAAAGGAACTAATTGCAGTTCTATGCAATTTTAAAGCCATCTTCCGACTTGAAAAACACATTAATTTACTCTATGAGTCATTTTATATTGCCAACACCCTTATTTTACAAAAGCAGAAACAGAAGTAGTAATTAATGTACATATTCCACATTTGGACACATTCAAATCAAACTCACGTATTCATATATTTTTGAGCAACCCATGCTTATGCAAAAAGTTATTCTAGAAGACTGAATGTGATAAAGCATGTAGATTATTTGGCACAGGCCTGGCAAACACTCAGTACTCAACACTGCTCATTAATACTGTTCCTAATTTTCCAACTTTTTACTCAAACTAAATGGTTGTAAAATTATATGATTGTGCATATACAATATGTATAAACTAATAAACTAACATGCATTAATACTACAAATAAAGCCAGTATGTTAGTGTATCAAGTAATGCTCTTCTAGACAAAGGTGAGTTTAACCATAACAAAATGATCCACGAAGAAGCAGAGAAAACTTCCTAAGATGTAGTGTTAAACATTATCTCTTATCTCTGCTTATCAATTAAGAATACAACCTCTACATGATCTAGCATGAATTGTAACGAGCAGTCAGGTGATCCTAGAGAACTAGCCCAAAACAAACAGTTAAGACAGCAAGCACGCAAGGCTGCACAAACCACACTCAAATCTGATAACTTCAACACTAGTACTGGAAGCCTACATAAATTCATTACCAGTCTCATGCTAGAAATTTTTTTCCAAGTCCCTACAATTTTTTCTAAAATACCTAAAAGTCACTTAAACTGTCACTACTACAGCATCCAGTTTTTAAAGCACTTCCAACAGTCTCAGCCACGCATCATTTATTAACATAGGGAAAATGGAAAAAGACTTTGGAGAGCATATGCTTTCTTGAATAAATATTAAGGTAAATATTAAATGTAACCCTACACCCTCATTACGAAAAAAGAAAATCTTTGTGCTTCCCAGCCTAATCTCGACTCGTGGGACAAAGCACATTCCCCCTCCCACGCCGAGAATCACACCCGGGGCGCGCCGAAGGGGCGGGAAGAGGCAAGGAACGAATGACCTGTCCCCGCTACTTCCCGCCGGGCTCCAGCACACAACCGCTAGATCCACGTGGGCTTGCGGGCGGGGGCGGCGACACCCACTGCCACTAGAAGCCCAGCGGGCCTCGACCCGCCCCCCTGCGGGGCGACAGTCCCACGGCCGGGCACTCGCGGACAACGGCGCGCGCAGCCCCGGCGGGGCCGGGGCCGGGGGCGGGGCCGGGCGGTGACGCGCCGCGGGGGAGGGGAAGGGAGCCCGGCTCCACTCACGCGCGGGGGCGGCACCGGGGCCGTCGCAGAGTCTCTCCCGTTCAAAAACTGAAAGGGGGGCGGAGGGGGCGGGGAGGGAAAGACCTGGTTCCTCGTCTCTTCCGGAAACCGATGGGCCGGCAGGAAATGACGAAGGCAGAGGTCGTCCAGGTCCGTGCGGCAACCGGTTCCCGCGAGTCCGGCCCCGACTCCGGGGGAAACGGCCCCGAGCCGCCTGATCGCCTGGTCGCCTGCCGCCTCCGGAGCGAGCAGCGTGAGTGGACCCGCGTCCTTGCGTCTCCCGGGCCCCGATCTCGCGTCACCCGGCCCCGCCCCCCGCCCGCGCGCCGCCCCGCCCCGTCCCGGACTCGCAGGGAGGGGAGTGGAGGTGGCCGCCCGCCCTGCGCGCCAGCGGGGGCTTGAAGGCGCCTTCTACCTGCCTCGCCTTTGCTCGGAGCCTCTCGCGGTCGTAGGGAACAGTGAGGCTCCTAGTTCCAGAAACGCCGGCCAAGACGTTGAAGTAGCCGCATCTGCAACGCAGACTTACGGCCGGCGCGACGGGCCCGGCGGTTGGGGTTCGGCAGGAGTGTGTAAAGACTGAATCACACAGCCTGCGAGCGGCGGAAACGCCTAAGCTCTGGCAGCTCTGGAGCCCCTGCCTGCGGCCGCTTCCTGAGAAAGGATGATGTTCTGTACCCGCTCAACTGGATTTTTTTCCGGGAGGAGCAGGGCTCACAGGGTTGAGGTCAGGGCTGGAACAGTTAAGGGTTGGGAGTCAGATGCATGTAACAGGCCTCCCTACACTGTGTGACACTGGGCAAGGTATACTGTGTAACCATCACTACCAGTTGCTTCTGTAAAATGGAGCTTTAGTGCCTCCCAGCAGGGCGGTTGTGAAGATTAATGGATCATGTGGCCTGCCCGAAATGTAAACCCTCAAATGTTAATCGCCTGCCTCCCGCTGGTCTCTTCTTCCTGAAGGCCTATTAGCTAGTACCCTTCTGAGTCAGGAACGCCAACCTTTAGTGAAGTTTCAAGAGGACTGAAAAAAGAAAATCACATTTATGCAGTGGGTTGTGTTATAAGGAACTCTTGGAACTGTATAAATGATTGTAATCCAAGTTTGTATCAAAATAATAAAGCACTAAGTGAGAGACAAAAATGATGACATTCAAAACACGATTACAAGTGATAATCAGTTTTAGAACTACCGAGACGTGGTATGGGAACACAAAATCAGGAAACTAATTTTAAAACTTACAAAAAAAAAAAAAAATTTAGGATATAATCACTGGTCCCTAGAAAAGTTATCCACCTAAAAGGTTTTGTTTTTTGTTTTTATCCTCACCCTAGGACATTTTTGCATTTATCTTCAGATAGAGTGGGAGGGAGGGGGGGGGAGAGAGAGAGAAACATCCATGTGAGAGAAACTCATCCACTGGTTGCCACCCACAGGACCCCAACTGGGGCTGGGGACAAACTGCAACCAAGGTAGGTGCCCTTAGTGGGAACCAAACCCAGTATTCTTTGGTCCGTGGTCCGATGCTCTAACCACTGAGCCAAACCAGCCAGGGCTCCACGTAAAAGTTTATCAAACTAAAACCAAATTCTAATTGTCATATTTTGGCAACTTTATCTCTAGATCCTAATAGTTACCTAGGACTTAATTTGGCCCACCCTAGCATCTCCTTACTGAAATCGTTCTAGCATTCCTGTACAGGAAAATGTGTGAAAAACGTTTAGTTTTCTCAAATGATGAATTTGTGAAATCGGTGAATCATGATTCAAGCACACAGACTAGTTACATTGTAATCTTGCTCAAACATGAACTTGCCAAGAACGAACCATTGTATAATGCCCCAGGGCATTTTGCTTTAGACTCAAAAGGAAGGCTGTGGTGGTATGCAGTAACTACTCAGCAGGTGTATGTGTGTATGTGTGCACTTGGTTGCACTGTGGCATGCTGGAAGGGAATGATCATAGTTCAGGCCACATGTGAGCCATGGGCCTGCACTGTGACTCTGGACAAAACAGTGGTTTATTCCTGGCAGTCTTACAAAATTATTCCATTGGTCATGATGGTGAACTGGACAGGAAAGATCTACCCTCAGTGCAGATCTTTCACAATGACACTACTAAAAATAATTCCAGTGCATTACCCTGGAACTGTGGAACAGTAGTGTCATTGCATATCAACGATATTGTCTAATATATGTTATATAATACACATTAAAATTTTACCTCTGGGTCAGCAGTAATTTGAAATTCTCTGTAATTACAGACTGGCATATTTGTAGCAGAAGGAAGAAAAGCTCTGTAGGAATATATCATTTATTGAGTGGCACGGGAACAGAATTTTGTGAAAGATCGAAGCCAGATATTAATCTGGCTCAGATCCACTCAGGTATTAGAAAACAGGTAGGAAACACTTTTATAATTTGTCAGATAAATGGCACCTAAAAAATATTCTGGTGGCTGCTGCTATATGTTTCCTGTTTCTTCCATGACTTGTTAATAACTCCCAATTCTGAAAGCTATCACCTTTGCCACATAATTGTTCCAGGCCTTCTTCAGCATCTTAAATCAGACATCTGAAGTCATCTCTTTTTGCCAAGTACAGCCATTGTTATTTTACCATTTGGCACCAATAAAATTCTAGATTCCATACATCATAAACAGTTATTAGTCTCTAGTCTTCCAAAAGTTTTCATTTGTAAAGTAGATTGATTACTTACTATCAGTCATAATTATTATATTCAGAGAAACTCTGGAGTTCAGTTTTAAGGCGTAAGAATTGAAACTCTGACTATGCCACATCCCCCTGTGCCTCTTAACTCTCTTAAAAGAAAATTCACAGCCAGACTTAAATATATGGGAAGTGGGTATGGTCTGATATTTAATATTTAGGTCTTGCATCTATAAATTATTATAATTTAAAGTAAGTTCTATTTATTATTCCCTGGCTAATTTTTATAAGACATCTTTATATTCATTAGACACCAATAGATGTTTCAGAGAAATTATTCTTGCCCTCAATATCAACAGTTTAAAGTTAAATGGCCATTCATGATACTCACTTTATTGTAAATGAGTGCATTATGTCCCCAAATGTCTGACAAAGACCGCAGATGTCAGCAAGGGACAAACATGCCACCTGGCTTAAGAGCAGACCTTTGGGGAAATTTCATCCATTTTATGCAGAGGCACACTATAAGAAAGAAAATAGACTTTGCCCTTAATACACACTTATTAACTTACTGAGCCACATGTACATCCAAGAATACTTTGGAGGCTTACAGGACAGATTGCAAGATATTTTAGTGGATGAACTTCTGCAATGCCTTCATTGTTATAGACTATCTAGGGGAGAAATTCAAAACAATTTCTTGGACATTTCAGATACTTTTTCTTGGTATTAGAAAATGGCTGTCTTATTCTTAAAAACTACAGTACAGTTATCACCTATCATTTGTTCACTTTTTCTCCTCTTTAAAGAACATCTAAACTAACACTCTAGATTTCTTTCACATATAAGGTCATTTTACCCAGACTTACCTTTTATGTGCAACACAAAGGAGGAACTTTCTCTTAAAGGAGAAATTCAGTTACCTTCCCAAACACATAAAAAACCATTTCTTTTTTACTTGCTATTTGATACAGTTTCTGTTACCACTCTTATTTTCTGTGGGAATGTCCAAAGAATGCATTTCCTTGGAAAGAAGTCACAGCTGTGTAAATAGCAAAATGTAACTTTTTATCCCATAGCTCCTTTCAACCACATTTGGCCAGCAAGGCAAACTAGATAAAGCTCCAGACGTTTTCCAGTTGCATCGGGAGGCATGTGGAAGAACATTGTTATGACTGTCACATCTTTTCTAGACTGCTGTCATGAGTGCAACACTTTTCTGAGCATCACCACCAGTTGTTTGGGTCTGTGTTTCAAAGTATTCAGTTGCTTTAATAGTTACTGTTTGGAAACTTTGCCATGATATTTCAACCTGTATCCCTTTATTTAATATGATTTTTTAAATCTCGAGTTTTAACCTTTATATAGAAGCTATGATGTTTCAAAGTCAAAAATAAGGGGGAATATGTTACATGCCTCAGATATCTAGACCAGGGGTTGGCCAACTTTTTCCTGAAGGACCAGATTATAAATATTTTAGGCTTTGAGAGCTGTGAGGCAAACATCAAGGTAATTATAACCACTTAAAATGTATCTGTTTAGAAATGTAAAACCATTATTGGCTTCTGGGCCATACAGAAACAGGCAGCGGAGCTGGGGTTGGCCAGCAGGGAGAAAGTTTGCCAGCCCTTCTCTAGACAGTCATACCATCACTGGCTAACAGAAACCTGTTCTTTTTTTTCTCTTACAGCCGCATGCCTGGAAGTTACGGAGTGATGGGTGACGATGGCTCTATCGATTACAGCGTTCATGAGGCCTGGAATGAAGCCACCAACGTTTACTTGGTAGTGATCCTCGTTAGCTTTGGTCTCTTCATGTATGCCAAGAGGTAAATCTTTGAGTACCTCAGGGGAGATAAGAAACTGGGCATTTAAAAGCTTTGCAGGTTTGCCCTGGCTGGTTTGGCTCAGTGGTCGAGTTTCAGCCCTGCGGACCAAAGAGTCCCAGGTTTGATTCAGCCAGGGGCACATAACCCGGTTGCAATTCATCCCCAGCCCTGGTCAGGTGGTGCGGGAGGCAACCAATCAATGTGTCCCTCCCACACTGATGTTTCTCTCTCTTCCTTTCTCTCCCTCTCTCTCCCTCCCACTGTATCTGAAGATAAATAGAAAAATATTTTTGGGTAAGGATTAAAATAAATAAATAAAAATAAAAGCTTTGCAGGTTTATTTGTTTGTTTTATCTGAATTAAATGCACAATAATAATTGCATCAGCATTTTTGTTCCCTCTAGGAAATCACTGTTTACTCAGGCTCTCGAGCACTGGACACCAAGATTTGGCTTGGAATACCCTGTTACTTTAAGCGATAGAGACTTAAGTGCAGCTCTTGTCACCCGGACCAGCTGCACTAGACTCCCATTCTATCATTTCTAATACAGTTCAAGTTTATCATCGAGCCTGTGTTCACTGGCACCTTGGATGAGCACATTTTTTTGGCCCATGGGCCTGAAATGCAGAAACACTAACTTCTATGTGTTTACCAATTCTTTCTTTGCACATTTTAAGCTTTCCCTTCTGTTCGTTGTGCAAGATTATATCATAGCACTTCTTCTTTTTATATTTAAAAAATTTTTTTTTCTTTATTGGTTTTGAGGGAGAGGGAGAAAGAGAGAGAAACATCGATGAGAGAGAACATTGAATGGACGCCTCCTGCATACCCGCCACTGGGGATCGGGCCTACAACCTGGGCGTGTGCCCTGACTGGGAATCGAACTGGCAACCGCTTGGTGCATGGGTCAACGCTCAACCACTGAGCCACACCTGCCGGGTTCATAGTGCTTCTTGAACAATATTGGTATTATCTGATTACTTGTCTGTCTATTCCACAAAAACTGCAGTCCTTGAGAACAAGGCCCTTTAACCTTTGTGTCCCTGGTGTACCACATTGTGTAAATTCTCAATAAATATATCCTACTTTAATTGTAGGTGCTATAGCATACATAATGTAAATGTCTCTCCCATACTCTCTCTGGTTCCTTTCCTTTCAGTACATTAAAAAGAAAAGAAAAAGGAGAGGGTGCTTTGAAGAGGAAAGTCAGTATTAGTTGGACTGAGTTGCTTCTGCTTATAGCTACATGCTTCATGGTGTCCTCAAAAAGACATTAGATAGTTCAAAATAATTAGTAATCCAAAAATCATTGATGTTTGGTCTGGGGAGTAGTTCAGAGCCTGTACTTGCTCTCAGACACACAGGCTCACTCTTTCTAACTGCCCAGCCCCTGGAGTGGCTGGCCCGTTGGCCAACTAGATGTAAGGGGTGGGTGAGAGAAGGCTCCACATATCAGCACTGGCCCACTTGCAGGAAATAGCTTTCTGCTAAAAATAGCTGCTACCTCCTCCTCACCCCACTGGTTTAAAAGCAAGGGCACACTGTTACCAATTTTAAATAAGTGGCCCCAATAAGACCATGCTGTTGTATTTAAGAAATATGTTTATTCACTATTTTTAAAAATTAATGTGTGCTCACATTCTGTTTATTGTTGAACCCAGAAAGTTAGCTTTATTTGGAAGACATGAGAGGAAAAGGAAAGATTCAGGTGTTTTCTTGTTTATGCATTTCTCCATACAGTATTTGGCTCTTTGGAGGGCAAGGAGCACAGACATGACAGAGGTACATCACTGTCGTATTAGTGGATGTGTTCAGCTACTTCTCTTTCTTATATCCCTGTGGCTGTATGTACACAGCTTCATACTTTATTAACAATATGTTTTTATTGCCCTGGTTGGTTTGGCTCAGTGGTTTGAGTGTCAGCCCACAGACCAAAGAGTTTGATTCTGGTCAAGGGCATATACCCCAGTTGTGGTTCGGTCCCCAGCCCTGGTCGAGGTCATGCAGGAGGTAACCAATTGATGTGTCTCTTTTACATCATTGTATCTCTCTCTCTCTCTCTCTCTCTCTCTCTCTCTCTCTCTCTCTTTCTCTCTCCCTTTCTCTCCTCCTCCCAGTCTATCTGAAGATATATGGAAAAATATCCTTGGGTGAGGATTAAAAAATAAATTAAAATGTTTTTATTGAGTTTTAGAGAGAGAGGAAGGGAGAAGGAGAGAAATGTCCGTGTGAGAGAGAAACATTGATTAGCGGCCTCCCTTACACACCCCAACCAGGAATCAAACCTTCAACCTGGATATATGCCCTGACTGGGCATCAAACCAGCAACCTTTAGGTGCATGGGGCAATGCCAACCAACTGAGCTACACCAGCCAGGGCATACAACTTCATACAACAGTGGGAGCTGAACCTGGGACTCTCTGGTCCGCAGGCTGACGCTCCAACCACTGAGCCAAACCGGCTAGGGCGCAACTTCATACTTTTTAGTGGAAGAAAGAATACTTGAGCCAAGGAAGCATCCACAGAGACAAAATAAATGATGGATTCCTTGCCATTTAAGTCCTTAATGTAGTTTCTGATTACAGTGATCATGAGAATATTGTAGTCCTATGGATAGTAATACAAATCTCTCTTCTACTTTGGTTTCATGTTTTAGGAATAAAAGGAAAATTATGAGGATATTCAGTGTGCCACCTGCAGCAGAAACTTTGTCAGAGCCCAACTTTTATGACACAATTAGCAAAATTCGTTTAAGACAGCAACTGGAAATGTATTCCATTTGTAAGTATATTCTGTGCTTAACTATATACATAAGCATGTTCACAACATATTTTTTGGAATTTAATCCAGTTAGCAAACAGTTATCAGAAATAGTTGATAATGAAAACTGAGTGCCTTTTTCAGATGCTCAACACAGTGTCAGCAAGGGTAGGTTTGCATGAAGTCTGCTTCAGGACCCTGTCCTTGTACGGGGCCCTTCCAAGACTCTGAGAAGAACTCTAGGAATATGTACATGGGATCGTACTTTTGTAAATTTTGCATAAATTAGCTATTTTAACAGTCAGATAAAATTGTTGTCTCTTCCTACTCTGATTTTGCCCTCCTTTGTACTTTGCCTGGTCTGGAATGGCATAAAGTGGCCGGGAGCATTTGGGGAATCTGTCTAAAGGAAAGTTGAGTTGGAGCCACTTATAGTTGGTGTTTGAAGCTTGTATTTATGGAGTTTGCAGTCCCTTCTATTGTTAAATCACTACTAGCCAAAGCAGTATAGGAATGGCTTCCAGGAATATGACATGTGACATCAATGTGCAATGCCAGGGGTCATATCTCAATATTAATATGTTCTATAGGACTGAACATGGTGAGTGTGTAGGTAATGGAGAAGAAGCAAAGTTTAAAATGTACGGAGTCAGAATAAATTGTAAGACACAGCCATTTATGCCACCATTTAAAAGAATAGGGGTGTTGTTTCTGTGGCAAATCATTAAATTCAGAAAAGCAAAATGTAATAGTATATTATATGATGCCACTCTTTTAAAATTGAATGACCAGAACATCCCTTGAATTATTTACATATAATATAATTGGTCTATATAATTATGCAGGCATGGAGGAAGGCTTGGAGAGAGACACATCAGGTTATTAGCATTATTAATCTTGATGGGGACAGTGTGGGATTTAAAGAAAAAAAACTGGACATTTTTTAAAAGAAATACATCTCTAGTAAGTATGTGTGTATGTCTGTATTTGCACAGAAAGAAGCAAGAAGTGAAATTGTAGGTGAAATGTAGGGGAAAAAACGTATGTTTTACACCAGTAAAACCTCTAAAAAAATTCTTGAGCACAAATTTTATTCTGAGAACAGGTAACAGCAGTTCCTTTGGGGGAAGAACTGGGAGGTAGCTGCAGGACTGATCAGGTAGGAGGAAGACACACTTTCACTGCTTTTTCTTTTGTTCCTTCTGTACTTTACCATATACATGGGTTACCAGTTCAAGCTAAGAAGTAAAACAAACATAGCAGTTTTATTCACAATAGCCAACAGGTGGAAACATTCCAAGTGTCCTTGATGGATGAGTGGATACACAAACCATGGTATATAAATATAGCAGAATGTTATTCAGCCTTTAAGAGAAAGAAAATTCTGACATCTGCAACACGGATAAAACTTAAAGACGTTATGCTTCATAATTATTCTTATAATGAAGTGAAATAAGCAAGCCATGACAGAACAAATATTATATGATTTCACTTATATGAGGCAAATTCATAGAGACAGAAAGTAGAATGGTGGTTGCCAGGGACTAGGGGAGGTGAAAATGGGAGTTATAATTTAACAGGTAGAGTTCACTTTGGGATGATCAAAAGCATTCCGTGTATGGAAGGTGGTGATAGTTGCACAACATTGTGAATGTAGTTCATGCCACTGAGCTAAACACTTAAAAATGGCGAATTTTATGTATATTTTATCACAACAGAAAATATCCTTTTAAAAAACTCCCATTTAGCCCTGGCAGGTTTGGTTCAGCGGTTAGAGCGTTGGCCTGCGGTCCAGAGAGACCCGGGTTTGGTTTCCGCTAAGGGCATGTACCTCGGTTGCAGTTTTTCCCAGGCCCTGGTTGGGTCGTGCGGGTGGCAGCCACTCGATGTGTGGCTTTCGCATCGATGTTTCTCTCTCTCTCTCTTCCTCTCTCTCTCTCCCACTCTGTCTGAACAAAAAATGGAAAAATGTCCCTGGGTGAGGATAAAAAAAAACTCCATTTAGCCCTGGCCGGTTTGGCTCAGCGGTTAGAGGGTCAGCCTGCAGTCTCGAGAGACCTGGGTTCGGTTCCTGCTAAGGGCATGTACCTTGGCTGCAGTTTGTCCCCAGCCCTGGTTGGGTTGTGCGGGTGGCAGCCACTCGATGTGTCCCTTTCACGTCAATGTTTCTCTCTTTCTCTCTCTCCCTCTCTTTCCTTTCCACTCTATCTGAACAACAACAAAAAAAACTCCATTTAAAAATTGTTTTTTAAAAATATAGTCAGAAGCTTTATGTGGAAAATTATAAGGGAAGAATTAAGTTTTCATTGATACCTAATTAAAACAGAAGTTATCTCCTATTGGTAATGTGTTCATTAGTATAACATACACAATTACAAACCTGCTGTACAGTACTTTTTCTTCTTTGATGAATTCCTGTCTTTGTAAGGTGTATCAGTTTTCTATTGCTATTGTAACAAATTATCACAAATTCTGTGTCTTAATGCAACACAAATGTATTATCTTACAGTTTTGTAGGTTAAAAATCCTACAAGAGCCTCGCTGGGATAAAATCTAGATGTCAGCAGGGTTTTCTTTCTGCTGTAGAAGAGAATCTGTTTCTTTGCCATTTCCAGGTTCTAGAGGCAGCCCACATTTCTTGTTTTGTGGCCCCATTCCTCCATCTTCAAAGCCAAAAGCATTGCATATTTCTGATCTGTCTTCCATTTTGGTATCTTCCCCTCTGTCTGAACTCAGCCAGGAAAGAGTCTCTCGTTTTTAGGAGCCATGTGATTAGGTGGGGCCAGATAATCCAGGGTAATCTCCCCCTATCAAGGTCCTTTCCTTAACCACATCTTCAAAGTCCCCTTTGTCCTGTAGGCAACATAGTCACAGATTATGGAGATTAGGGTGTGGACCTCTTTGGAAGCCATTATTCCTGTAAACAGTGAGTGTATGTGGATTTGCACATTTACTGAATCCCTGAACATTGGAGCATTCTCAGTGTTGATATCTAGTCCTAATAAAGTCCGGCGGTTCAAGAGGAAATAGCAAACAAAATTCTTTTTCTTAAAGAGCAGTCTCAGAGTTGTATAAGCTTTAGGCCACAAAAATCTGAATTCACCCCTGAGTACTCGGCGTAAACAAACAGAATCTGTTTCTTGGCTAGGCAAAAATGAAGAGACTGAAAGTTTGAAAGCTAAGCAGTGAATGACACTCATAACGATTTTAACCCTGTACTTTCTCTAGTTTTACTTAAGACCATTCTTCAGTAAACATTTATCAGAAGTACAAGAGAATACAGAATTGCATGTTAGTTTTTCTTCTAGTTTATATTAATCACAAATTTCAATTATAGATCTCTTAGGCTTATAAGTTAAAATATAATCAAATTCCTTATGATGTGGACAAAAATTGTTATTAATTTATCTTAAGATGGAAATGGGTGGGAAGAAGGAAATTGCAAAATGTTAATTTACTTTTACTACCTTAATGTTTATATTTTTAAATATTTTTTATTGATTGATTTTAGAGAGAGAGGAAGGGAGAGGGAGAGAGATAGAAACATCAATAAGACAGAACATCGATTGGCCGCCTCCTGCATGCCACCCATTGGGGATTTGGCCCACAACCTGGGCATGTGTCCTGACTGGGAAATGAACCAGCGACCTCTTGGTGCATGGGTCGATGCTCAACCACTGAGCCATACTGGCTGGGCTACTCTATTATTTTAAAGTTCTGAATAATCCTGATATACAAATAATAACATATTAAAATGGGTATATATGTTGAGAAATTAGAGGGTCACAAAGTATAACAAATTTTCTCCAATGGAAAAAACACATTTAATTCTAAGCTAATTCTTTACTGAGAGTTAATGATATTAGCTAGTAATTATTTTACTATTTTATTAATTCTATCTTTATCTTGTTTTGTTTTGTTTGTTTTTTAATAGCAAGGAAGCATGACTATCAACAGCCACAAAACCAAGCTGACAGTGTGCAGCTCTCACTGGAGTGAAATATCAGAAAATGAGCGACATAAGTAATTGTTAAACAGTATGGTAGCAAGCTCCTGATTCTACTAAATCTTCAACAGCATCTTTAAAAAATCTTCTCTCTCCATAAAATCATCTTACTTGTGACTTTTCTCCAATTTTTTTTGGTGTGTTTTGTTTCGCTTTTTTAAATCGCACCTTCAAGTCATTTATTACACAAATTAAAAAATGGCTCAAAGGGCCTGAAAACAGAGAGATGGACCTTAACCAGAGATGGCGATTTTACCTTGTGAAGACTTATTTCTTCAGGATATAATCAGTCAGGAATGAAAACCTGTCTTTGGAAGTGAGAATCTGGAGCTTATACTTTGAGCTGAACATTTTTTCAAAATGAAAATCCAGTCATTGGCATAATTTCCTCTCAGACTGTGTTCTATGATAAGTGTAATATGGATAATGGACTGATTTGTGTTCTCACTGCTGTTGTTACCACACTTTAATTGAATTAACTGCTCACTTCTTTAGAACTTGCATTGTAGACTGTCTTTTCTACATCCTGAAGCATACCCATCTGCTAATTATGGAAGCTTTCTGGAATTGTTTTCCCCTTCATTGTATTCCTAGGAGTTTGCTTTTTTCTTTAAGCATAGAGTTTCATTTCCACCACAAGAGTCTTCTTTAGACTATACTCGGGCCATGTTGCCAAATAAATGGGCACCTCAATAATTGGTGTTAGCAACTTGCTTTTTCAGTCATATGACTATCAATGTTTAATGTAACTGTCCGGTTTCTTATGCTTTTTTAGCATAATAAGCTTCCCTGAAGACTCATATCTTGTACCATGTTGTGTTATACATTAAAATGTTTTTATCTAATTTTTCATATTTATTTAAGTGAAAGCTGCTTGGAGGTAGAGGCAGGGAACTTTACCTGTCCATGTAACTGACCAAGAATTTGTTTTGAATCAAAGGTATTCTTAATTCTAAGAGTCAAAGTTAATATTTCAGCATTATTTTCTTTTCCCTTTATAATTGTGAAGTAAAAGAATATAAATTTTAAATGAAAAGGTTTAGACCAAATAAAATCATTCAGGGAAATTGTATTTTCGTTTAAATTTTAATTATATCATTCAAAAATGTATATATTGTACAAGATGAATTGTTGACCAAATGGAGTAATTCTTTCTCAACTCACAAATGAGTGAACATACCGCCTATACATAGAATGAAAAACCATGTATAACTAAGAGGATTATAAACAGTTATAATCACAGGCTGCGGGTAGCAGAGTGGCAAGGAGACAGTCTTAAACTTTGCTTTGCTTCGGAGACACGCTGTGTATTTCCATGAGCAGAGAATAATCGAGCAGGAGCGGTTTACTTGCTGCCACTGACATAAGGCACAGTCTAGACAGATTACAAACCTGGACATCTCAGATGATTTGTAAAAATGGTGTATATAAATAAATACAAATCTATTGTTTTTTTCTGCGTCCACTAGATAGAGACGGTCTTAACTAAAAATTGGTAGATCACTTGGTGAGCATCAAACCCTAGCCACTAAGAGCGGATGAATTCCTGATTTTTTTCTCTAAAGCTAACATGGGAATCACTCACCCCCACTGGCAGGAACAGCAGCAAATCTGCCTTTGAAGTTTCTTCTCTGCTTCAACAGCTGAGCTGGGAAAGGGGTGGAAGACCTGCAGCCACACTTCAAAGCGACACCAGCTGATTGTCCTGCTCCTGCCCCTGAATCTACCTAGGATTCAATGGAACTGTTTTCTTTGGAAGAAAAATGGAATGACTAATAATTTGATAAATAACACGTGTGTACTCCTTTTCCTCGTTTCTTCTTCTTTTTTTTTTTAACGCATAAGATATTCAGCAGGAAGCAGCCAGCCAGCCTCTACTGGTGCACAGCTTGAGCATGTTAAATAGTTGATGTTTAGCTGATGCCAGCCAGCTGCACTCAGGGAAGTAGTTGGCCTCTAAGGGACACAGATGTTTGCTATTGACCTCACACTGTTTCAGGTGGAGTTATTTATATGATTCATCAGAAAATGAAATACAGAGTTTATGGTAAAATTGGTGTAATGTCAGAAATATTTTCAATATTGAGTAGAAATAACAATAATAATAAAAATAATTTCAGATATTAACAACAATTATATCTTAGAAAATATAAAGAGAAAAGACACAAAAGTACATGGAATGAAGTAAATTCATTCAACAAATAGTTGTGAAATACATAATTCTGTGTGTTAGACGTGTGATCCATAGACTTTGATTTTAATAACAGAATTAGAAAAGGAATAGGTGCTGGAAAACTAAATGGAAATAAGGGTACTTATTTGCATACCTTTAACCTGTATGCAAAATAGTGAGAATAGGGACTGGAGCTTAGTCTTAATCTGTTTCCCATGTGACTCCCTAATAAAGCCAGAGCCAAACCTGCACAAAATATACAGCAAGAAGAGTTTCCCACCTACCTCTTGTCCCTCTTCAGGCTCCTATACGTCTGTATGAGTAAGACAGGTCTTAAATGAGGGTGTAAAAGTAGGGATGGGGAACTGAGCTGAGAACTGAGGTGGTAAACCCTACTAAGTCCTGCAACACACCTGGGAACTTTCAGCAGCTGGTCATCTTCCTACTATCATTGACCTTTCACCCCAAAACAAATGAGTGGTATTTAGCACTGGATTCTATACTGATGTATTTCCCACCTTTATTTTATTTAGATATAGTAAAAAACTAAAGCTGTTTATGTACATTAGTAACATTCCACATTCTAGGGAGGCAGACACGGGATAAGTCAAAGGGGAGGCCGCTTGCTGTCCAGGTCCATCAGCAGTTCAGCCCCAAATTTGATCCTGAAAGAGCACTGTGTTGTTCACTTCTTTTGGTTTTGATGTTTCCTAGTTCCAGAGTTTCTTGAAAGAGTGGCTCCATCCCAGAGATTTTATTTGAAAATATTGTGACAAATTTCAAACTAGCTGAAGAAATTTGGGGATTTTTTTTTTTTTTTTTTTACCACAACCCACTGTTGATGTTAACTGCAGATGTTTGGAGGCTCAGAAATCTGAATTTGTTTTTAAAGTGCACCATATAAATGTAAAGTATTTATGACAGAACAAGTAAACGTGCATTTACTGTATTTATTTTTATTTTTAATTTTTGGAAGGAATTGTAAGTGTCTCTGAATAACATTTTATTTTGAGGTTTAAAATCCAGGCCCATTCAAGTTGACTACAGTCTAATATAAATCTTATATCTAAATGCTTTCTATCTCCTAGTATTGGCACAGTAACTAGACCAAAGTAAATGCTTGGTGAATACTTGTTGAATTAATTAATTATAATGTATAGAACTGATATTTTAGTTTTATGTTTTTGAAAAGTATTTGTAGATTCTGCTTCTGGTAATAGAGTAATCGTATCAGACCAATTCACAGATAATGATTATGAATTCAGAACGAAACGAAAAAAACAACTATTTGACAGTAACCATAACCAGACAAACCAGAAAGAGGTCGACCCTTGAAAGGGGACTGCACTGGTTGAGATTTGTGTTTATCTGGTTCTTTGAAGGAATGTACAAGTCCACCAGTCGAGAGTAGCTAGAACTTGGGTAGAAAGCTGTAGTAAAATTGGTCTGAGAACAGGACAGAGTTCAAGGCTTCTAGAGAGACTGGAAAGTAAGGAGGAATGTCATAGAAAGAAGTGAACCACAGGAGGGGGAACCCCAAAATCTGCATATAAATTCTGACAAGTCCGTGGCTGACCCCTGAACTTTGATTATAAATCTACAGAGACTCTTAGGAGCCTGGCAGAAAACTAATAGCTAAAAAGCTGAAAGAACTAAGCAGAGTTTTCAGCTACTGTCACCATAGGTGATACAGTTTGAGTGCTGTCAAAAAAATAACATTTTTCAGAGAAAGATATAATCTAGAATCTCTGTATCATCATCCACAATGTCTAATATGCAATAAAAAAATTACAGGAATGAGAAAAACAGTAAAATGATTCACAGTTAAGAGAAGAAATGAGACAATGTGGTCCATAGTCAAGAGAAAAAAAACAGTCAATATAAACTGACTCCAAAATGTCCCAGATATTGAATTAGCAGATAAGGACTTTAAAGTAGCCATTACAAATATGTTTAGATAAATGAAATACTTTCAGATAAATGATAATTGAAAGGCTTTATCAGCAGTAGATCTGCTGTACAAGAAATACTAAAGGAAGTTATTTGGGCAAAAGAGAAGTGATAACAGATAGAAACTCAAATTTAAGCAAACTAGGCATGATGAATGACCAGATAGGGAGAAACAATGATAGAGCAAGTAGGGACTTTTACCAACTGGGCATAAAGAGTATATAGGAGCCCTGACTGGGTGGCTCAGTTGGTTGGGTCATCCCGTATACCAAAGAGGTTGCAGCCCTGGCCAGTTTGGCTCAGCAGTTAGAGCGTCGGCCTGCGGTCCGGAGAGACCGGGTTCGGTTCCCGCTAAGGGCACGTACTTCGGTTGCAGTCTGTCCCCGGCCCTGGTTGGTCGTGCGGGTGGCAGCCACTCGATGTGTCCCTTCACATCGATGTTTCTCTCTCTCTCTCTCTTCCTCTCTCTCCCTCCCGCTCTATCTGAACAAAAAATGGAAAAATATCCTCGGGTGAGGATTAAAAAAAACAAAAAACAAAAAAAAAAAACAAAGAGGTTGCAGGTTTGATCTCTGATTGGGGCGTGTATGGGAAGCAACCAATCAATCTCTCTCTTTCTTCCTCCCTCCATCCCTCTCTAAAATCTGTGAACATACCATCTCAGGTGAGGATTTAAAAAAAAAAAAAAAAGTATATAGGAGTTTCTTGTACTAGTATAACTTTTCTAGAAATTTAAATTATATTTTAAAGTTATTGAAAATCAATTTCTTAGTAAACTTCATTCTGTTTTTTTGTCATACCAATTATTGGTAATACTAAAAAACAGGCAGGGTGTCTAAGGTATCTTAGACAACATTGTGCTTTTTCCTTCTGTGCTTTATCCCACAGTATCCAATATCCTTCGGTTCTCTACCAACGCCCAAGAAAGAATCTAAAACACACTTGCACAAAAGTATAGATGACTGATAACAGTGTTACTTCTCACCAGTTGTTTATTCTGCATATTAATAGAGAGAGCCTTCAATTGGAAAGATAAGTTTTCAGACATTACAGAGCAGTGGTAACTTTAGGGATAAGAGAGCCTTAATGGTCTCTGAAATCAGATCATGTCTGCTATTAACTATACTCCCCCTATACATCTGGCTACCACTTCCAATTCTTTCCCCATAATCTGAGTTAAACATTAGTAATCAAAATGTCACCTCTTCCCCATAGAATTATTAAATGCACTGGAACTCTTAAAAGTAAGAGTGATTGTATGGTTTTGTATCTGTTTCAAATAGGGCACAGCCAGCTCTGCTTTTACCGGCTCCTCTCTGTGAGGCAGGAAAGCGGATAATAACAGATAATAATCTTTTGGTTACCATTTTACATTTGAGTAAAAGTGAACAATGTGAATGACTCTTCCAGTCTTGAGCTTTTGCAATATTGAGAAATGTGAAGATTAGATGGGAAGGAATGTCTCCAGGGACACAGAGAGGTATGAAGGCAGATATATAAAAAGGTGATTTCTGAAAATCATATAGTAATATACTGTATTTGTTAATGCATTTTAGACTTAGGACTGGGATTTTATAACACACACAAGTAACAACTGGATTCATTTCCTTTTCTCTAGCGTCAAGTCTTTCCTTCGTTTGCTGGAGTACCTTGTAAATACTAGGTGTTTAACAAATACCTGCTTCATTAAATCAGGTTGACTCTAGTGTGGTGCTATCCCTGAAAGCTATGGAATAAAGCTGTTTTCATAGTTTCCTCTTGTGCCCAGTGCAACAGAAAGCAACAGGAATTCTAGCATTCTTGCAGCTCTTGCTGGCAGTCCAGTATATTTTGTGAAAGTGGTTAACACATATTGTATTTATTTTTTTAGTGGCTTAAAACAACAAACATTTATCGTCTCACAGTTGAAGAATTCAAGAGCAGAGCGGCAGGTGGCCCAGGGTCTCCCGTTGAGATGGCAGTGAGGATGTCCTCGTGGGCTGGGGCTGACTTCGGCCGGAGGAGCGGCCTCCACGACGGCTCCCTCACATGGCTGTCGCCAGGAGACCTCAGCTCTTTTGCCATACGGACTGTATCATATTAATACCCTCCACAAAGGCAAAAAAAAAGAGGATGGATTTTTCCCCCAAAATATTTCAGAGCACAGCATACTTTATATATTTTAAGGTGTAACAACTTTTGGGGGTTTTTTGTTTTGTTTTTTGTTCAGATGGAGTGGGAGGGAGAGAGAGGAAGAGAGAGAGAGAGAAAAATCAACGTGAAAGGCACACATCAAGTGGTTGCCACCCGCACAACCAACCAGGGCCGGGGACAAACTGCAACCGAGGTACGTGCCCTTAGCGGGAACTAAACCCGGGTCTCTCTGGACCGGCCAGGGCTAACTTTTTGTTTTTAATCCTCAACCTGAAGACATTCTTCCATTTCTCTTCAGATAGAGTGGGAGGGAGCAAGAGAGAGAAACATCAACGTAACAGAGACACATCGACTGGTTGCCTCCTGCACGGCCCTGACCAGGGCCAGGGACTGAACCTGCAACCGAGGTGCAAGCCCTTGACCAGAATCAAACCCACAAGTCTTTGGTCCGCGGGCCAATGCTTTCACCACTAAGCCAAACCATTCAGGGCACAACTTTTAAAAAATATATAATTTTTCTTCAAAATATTTCTAACAATTAAATCTTAGT